GTTGAAAAGGTGTATAGGTCTTGTCTTGTGACTTTTGTGGGGAGCAATACTCATGTAGACTTGGTTATCTTAGAAATGGTTGACTTCGATGTAATTCTGGGTATGACTTGGCTGTCTCCAAATTTTGCAATCTTAGATTGTAATGCTAAAACTGTAACGTTGGCCAAGCCTGGGACAGATCCGTTAGTGTGGGAGGGTAACTACACTTCCACTCCATTTCGTATTATCTCCTTTCTTCGTGTTAATAGAATGGTTAGTAAGGGTTGTTTAGCTTTCTTGGCACACCTCAGGAATGATACTACTTAAGTACCTTCAATTGAGTCGGTTTCGATAGTCCGTGAGTTTCTGGATGTGTTTCCTGCAGACCTTCCTAGTATGCCACCGGATAGAGATATTGATTTCTGTATCGATCTGGAGCCAGGTACTCGCCCCATTTCCATACCCCCTCATAGAATGGCTCCCGCTAAGTTAAGGGAGTTAAAGGCCCAACTTCAAGAGTTGTTAGGGAAAGGCTTTATTAGACCAAGGGCATCCCCTTGGGGTGCTCCTGTCTTATTTGTGAAGAAGAAGGATGGAAGTTTTCGGATGTGCATAGACTACAGACAACTGAATAAGGTAACCATTAAGAACAGGTATCCTCTTCCTCGCATCGATGATTTTTTCGATCAGTTACAAGGTGCTTGTACCTTCTCAAAAATCGATTTGAGATCTGGTTATCATCAATTGAAAATACGGACACCGGATGTGCCCAAGACTGCTTTTTGGACCAGGTATGGACATTATGAGTTCTTAGTAATGTATTTTGGGCTTACGAATGCCCCTGCTGCTTTCATGAGTTTGATAAACAGGATTTTTAAGCCATATCTGGATCTCTTTGTCATCGTATTCATTGATGACATACTGGTATACTCAAAGAGCAAGAAAGAACATGAGGAGCACTTGAGAATTGTATTGGAAATGTTGAACGAGAAAAAGCTTTATGCCAAATTCTCCAAGTGTGAGTTTTGGCTAGATTCAGTGTCCTTCTTGGGGCATGTGGTCTCTAAGGATGGAGTGATGGTGGATCCTTCTAAGATCGAAGCAGTGAAGAGTTGGGTAAGACCTACGAATGTTACAGAGGTAAGGAGCTTTGTTGGTTTAGCTAGCTACTACCGTCGGTTTGTCAAGGGATTTTCTTCTGTTGCTTCTCACTTGACAAACTTGACTAAGCAGAGTGTTCCATTTGTATGGTCGGACGAGTGTGAAGAAAGCTTTCAGAAGCTCAAGACTTTGTTGACTACTGCACCAATTCTCACCTTGCCAGTGGAAGGAAAGAACTTCGTTGCTTATTGTGATACATCCTATTCTTGTTTGGGTGCAGTGCTAATGCAAGAGAAGAATGTAATTGCTTATGCTTCAAGACAATTAAAGGTGCATGAACGTAATTATTCGACCCACGATTTGGAGTTGGCTGCGATAGTGTTTGCATTAAAGCAATGGAGACATTATCTATATGAGGTTAAGTGTGAAGTCTATACGGATCATCGTAGCCTACAGTATGTCTTTACTCAGAAAGATTTGAATTTGAGACAGAGGAGATGGATGGAACTACTGAAGGACTACGATATCACTATTTTGTATCACCCAGGAAAAGCTAACGTTGTGGCAGATGTGTTAAGTAGAAAAGCAGGGAGCATGGGAAGTCTAGCTCACTTGCTGGTTTCTAGACGCCCATTGGCTAGAGAGGTTCAGACTCTGGCTAATGACCTTATGAGGCTAGAAGTAAATGAGAAGGGAGGATTTTTGGCCTGTGTGGAAGCAAGATCTTCCTTTCTTTATAAGATTTAGGGAAAGCAGTTTACTGATGAGAAGCTGATCCGAATTCGAGATAAGGTATTGCGAGGAGAGGCTAAAGAAACAAAAATCGATGAGGACGGTGTTTTGATGATTAAGGGAAGAGTATGTGTACCCCGCGTCGATGATTCTAACAGAGGCTCATAGTTCAAGGTATTCTATACATCCTGGTGCAACCAAGATGTATCGTGACCTAAAGCAACATTTTTGGTGGAGTAGGATGAAGCGGGACATTGTTGATTTCGTTGCTCAATGCCCAAACTGTCAGCAGGTAAAGTATGAACACCAGAGGCCTGGAGGGACACTCTAGAGAATGGCCATTCCTGAATGGAAGTGGGAGAGCATTGCAATGGACTTCGTGGTTGGTCTTCCAAAGACAATGGGTAAGTATGACTCCATTTGGGTAATTGTTGATAGGTTAACTAAGTCTGCTCACTTCATTCCGGTTAAGGTGACTTACAATGCAGAGAAGTTGGCCAAACTTTACATCTCAGAAATTGTTCGATTGCATGGAGTTCCACTTTCCATCATATCAGATAGAGGTACACAGTTTACTTCTAAGTTTTGGAAAACATTGCATGCTGAATTAGGTACTAGGTTGGACCTTAGTACTGCATTTCACCCTCAGACTCGATGGCTAGTCAGAGCGAACGATCCATGTGTTAGAAGATATGCTTCGTGCATGTGTGATAGAATTCGGTGGTCATTGGGATAACTTCTTACCCTTAGCAGAGTTCTCATGCAACAATAGCTATCACTCAAGTATTGATATGGCCCCATTTGAGGCACTGTATGGGAGAAGATGTAGGTCTCCCATTGGGTGGTTTGATGCATTTGAGGTTAGACTTTGGGGTACTGACCTTCTGAGGGAATCATTAGATAAAGATAAATGCATTCAGGAAAAGCTTCTAGCAGCACAAAGTAGGCAGAAAGAATATGCAGATCGAAAGGTTAG